AAGGGCTAAAAGGGTTATTCTTTGATAGGGAGGAGGATTTCAGCGATGATGAGGACGAAGACGAGATGGAGGATTGAGACTTTTGAGAAAAGGGGGGGGACTTACCCGGGGAATGGGATGTCGGCTACGTGCAGGTAGGGAACGATGACCTGAGAGCTCCAGTTGTGGGATTGCACATTCAAAGGATGGGAACCAAGGCGGATTGGAGGGGGGGTAGAGATGCCCTTTCCAACAGAATATGAGTGGAGAGGAGCAACATGTGACTGGGTCGAGCTCGAGATCGCACCAGAACTATCGTACCTTTGGATACAACGCATTTGGAACCCGATTAGGGAGGAAGATAGATGGGATGATATCGCAGAAGGGAAGGTAGAATCGGTTGGGACAGTAGTCTTGTCGGAACAAGGGTGGCATCTATTCTGCACCACGCTTGTGGCGGGACAAAACCCGATGTGGCTCCTGGAGGGTGCGGAGACAAGGACTCGGAAGGCGGGTGAAAGGTTTGCCAACAAGGGATGGGATGAAGTCCGCAGCAGGGTCGCAATGGGGGGATGAAAAGAATTCAGGCCACCCTGCCTGCGAAAGAGGATCTGGGCCCCCAAGTTCATAGTAGACTGGTTTGGGGGTTTTGACCATGTTGCGGAAGTGGCAGGCACTATGGAACGGATACACATAGACTATACCTGGCCGTCAGAAGCGTTTTACAAAACATCATTGAAGTACGGGCCTTTCCATGGCGATCGAGCCTGGGAGGTCCTCATCATTTTGAATATGGATAGGTACGACCAACTAGAGGTAGCCCCGGAAATAAGGGATGCCATAATCCGTCGGGAGGTAGCGGCGACACCCTGCTATGTGGATGATGTGTTTAAGTTGTTCGARGTAYCGTGGTTCGACTAAGGAGCAGGGGAAGCCACGGGCCAGGCAAGTATGGGAAAAATACTAAAATAAGGGAGTGGGATGTCTGGTCATTGCAGGGTTCGTTGCAAACCGCGGAGTGAGGAGACCAAGGACAGGCGCGTGATGGCACGAAGAAGGACGTTCCTTGAGGATCGCCCTCTGGGCATTGAACCGCCAAGGAATGTGGATGGTGGGGTGGAAATCAGCCTGCCGGCCGCGAGCGAGGGCTAGCACCCGGTGGTGGACTGGGTTGGGGTAGAGCTCATAGAAAACACGGTTTGCTTAGTGATGACAATTGAGTGGCGTGCGGATGAAAACGGGGAATGGAACCCGGACCCACGGGAACATGTGTGTACGAAGGGTTGGTTGCATATGTCGGAAGATGGGTGGCGGGCGTTCGGAGTCCTGTTGGCATCAGGAGAAGATCTGTTAAGTATGTTCGAGGGAGCTTGGCAACTAGTGTGGCAGGCGGGTTTCGAATTTGCAGACCCGGAACTTGATGACGTGACCGCCAACCTCAGAGTAGCCATGGCCAGAAGCTTCGAGCTGCCTAGTGAAAACGTTCGGATGAGATTGCCGTCATTTTTGCTAGAAAGGTTAGGCGGGGTGGAGCTTGTAAGGAGGGCTGTGGCCGACCTCGCCAACCTGGCGCTTGAGGACAGGATGGTTCACCGAGAGTATTACCGGGCCTTTCTAGAAATGGGCTATGGGGTGTTGTTCGACGAGAGATAAGCCTAAGAATGACTTACGTAGATGACATGTACTGCTTGTATGAGCCAATGGAAGTAGAGACAGGCCGGTAGGAGAGGCAAGGAAAGAAGGGGAAGGGGATAGAGAGGAAAGGAAGCATTGAGTTAAGGACCGGGGAGTTGCTCAGGTGAGGACGGAAGGGAAAAATGAAATAAGTAAACTCGCTTGCTGTTTAAACTGTGCAGGGGACTGCTAAAACAATAATGGCGATGAGACGGGCCCGGATGTCGCGACTGCCCAGGCACCCGCGGCCACCCACGGAAAGTGGAAGCGGATGGGAAATATCGCTCCCAGCAAGCTATATAGTTCGAGGACTTGACACAGAATGGAGAGTCGTGACCTTGGGGAGGGACCAGGCGTTCATGATGGTGGAGTGTTTGTGGGACGGTATGAGGATTAATAGGGGACCGGGGGACGATCTGTCCACTGACCTAAAGGTAACGGGAACCGTATACCTGCCGGAGGTCGAATGGCACATGCTAGGAATGGAATTGGCACTAGGGCATGGGCTGTTACCAATCTTCCAAAGGGCCACTAGGATAGTGGACCGGATAAGCTAGGTGGTGCGAGGAAGAAGGAAAGTGGGGCTGAAAACCCGGGTGGAGGTAGGAGGATGGCGAGAGTTTAAGGCCTTGATGACGGGACTGCGGTGCCAAGTGCCTCGCTTCATGGTGAACTTTGTATTTGGCAGCCTCTCAAGGGCAAGAAGCCTGGTGGAGTCGACTCTAGTATGGAACCACTCCTTTCGTCCGCAGACGACGGGGATGTTTTACGATGTGTCAGTTAGGCACGGGCCGTTTTGGGAAAACCAGGCCCGTGAACTACTCGAACTCATCGAAATCCTGATATTCAGGTTACCACGCATGGCGTTTGAGAAATATGAACCAATAATTATCAAGGAAATAGAAATGGGAGAAAACTATCTTCCAGGGGGTGGCCAATCTATTTGAGGAACCGGAGGAACAAGACAGACCTGAGGGACCGGCATGAGAAAGGAAAGTACCGGGGAAAGAGTAAAAGGTGGAAAATAGGAATGAGAAGCTAGCCGTCAGCAAGAGAGTAGTGGTCGGAGTTCCGTCCCACCTGAGATCGTGGCAGGAGGGAACTGGGAAAACCACCCGCGCTGAAAGACGCTGAGGCATCCGGGTGTCACGGAGTCAAAAGGGCTACCCTCGAGAGAGGGCCACTAGCCTCAGACACCGCCCTAAGGGACCGGGGCACGACAGTGCCAAAACGCCAAACCTCGGCAGCAAGCCTTCCGGCAGAAGAAAAACAGAACGACGCCCTGTAGGAAATTGTTAGGTGAGTTGTCCCGACAATAAGACGGGAAAACATGGAAATAAGTAAGAATAAGGGGACCTTAGGGCCCGAGAACTAGGGAAGCTATGAACAACCGGCCATTTCGAAAAAAAATATTTTCCATGTGCAGGGTAGGTAAAGGGATGGCGTCGGAAGAAGAGGTTGAGGAACCGCGAAGCAAAGGAAGTCGGGGCACAGGTAGGGGTACAGAACGAAACGAAGCATCAGTAAAGGATCGAGAGTCGGCGAAACCAGAGGGAACGAGGGAAGATGGGAAGGATCTTTCGACAGGGGAAAGTTCGGAGAAAACCCGGGGTAGCAAAAGAGGACCTTAGGAAAATAGGGAAGGAAGGGACAATGGAAGATCGAGTCCTCGAAACTGAGAAGGGACTACGCCCAAGAAAACAAAGGTCTCAGACGCCCGCCGTAAGCTGGCCGAGCTAGAAAAGCGAATCGCAGAATATAAAGCGAGGCTTATGGAGGAAATGATGGCTGGGAATGAAAGGAACTCCCTGGGAGAAGGGTCGCGAGAAGAATGTAGGGTCAGCCAGGGTGAAATGAGGCATGGAGGGAAGGATAACAACCATAAGGTAACGCCCAGCAAGAAAGGGAAGAAAAAGGGGGACGCTCCGGCTGTAGAGGCAGAAAAGGCTACGACCCCGCCTCCTATGGACAACGGGACTAGCCGCCTGCCCGCCACACCGAAAGTAGCAAAGGGTTGCGACGAACTTTGAAGTCTCCGAGAAAGGGTGCTAGGATGGTTCGATCCTGAGGGTACGCCAAAGGCTGGGGAAAAACAGGGGGATAGCAAGGAAGGAGAAGAGACCAGTCTGGCTGGTGAAGCAGGTAGCTCTGAGGGAGGTCTTGAGAAAATAGTAGCTACCCTCACCCGGGCTCTGAATAAGAATCAGGGGTATCTGGCCGATGCCAAGAAGAAACTCACTTTTCATGGGACGAACATTACGGAGTTCCTGATAGACTATGAGAACCTGACAGCCTTGTTGAAACGGAGTGAGGAAGAGAAGATGGACCATTTGGGGCAGCATATGTCACTGAGTCTGGGTAGAGACATTATGGTCATCGTCGCCACTAGTGGATCTTGGAAGGAAACCAGGAACGAGATGATGAGGAAGTACCTATAGGCGGAGAAGATGGCAACAAAAGCCGAGTTGGAGGCAGTCCAAAGGAAGAACTATGCGACTTACAACTTCCTAAGGGCCTTTACTCTAGTCGCGGTACGAATTCCCGGGGTAACAGACCGGATTATGAGTAAGTATTTCCTCAGGCAGTTCTCCGAATTCGACAAAGATAAGATTCTGTCAGCTTACCAGCAGACTAGCAAGTTCGAGTACACTAGGGATGTGGACTTCAGCACGATAACAGACCTCGTAGAAAAGACAGTGGTGACAGATACGCTAGCCCTGCTTAAGGAAGGGGAGGTTATAGACTTGACTTGGAAGACGGTGGATAAGGTCAAGAAGGGGATAGAGAGTCTGCACGAACGAGTGCACGGGGTTGATAGCAAAATAGAAAGAGTGGAAAATGCGTTATTAGTAATGCATGCGCAGGTGTCCCGCCTCGCCCTCCCGCCCCAAGAGGCCGTAGTTCCGGCAGCGGTAGCAAATCGGGGGTATGGCAGAAGGGATCCGGCCAATGAGCAATGCAAGTATTGCACAATGGTCAGACATTTCGTGCGGACCTGCCCAAGACTCAACCATGATATCATGAGACAGAGATGCAGCAGGTCCCTTAAGGGTGAGATTCTCGGACCCCAGGGAGAGCGCGTAAATTGGAATTTGCCAGGAGGGATGCGGCGTGCCGTCATCATTCTGAATAACTTGGATATAGCCGCTGTAGAAGCAGAGCCAGTAGCCGATATTGTCTGGGACCAACCGATGGGACGTGGACCATAGGCCAATTTCATCCTAGAATGGGAAGGATAGGGTAAACATCACCACCCGATGGGGCGGTGAAGAAAAGAAGCTTATTCGAGATACAGTAATGGAAGAAGTCGCAGTGATTAGCGCAGATCAAGAGGAAACCGAGGCCGAAGAGCCGAAAAAAGTCTACGGAAAAGTCAGGGAAGAGGAGCCGGTAGACAAAGCAGTAGCGGCAAAGAAAAGTTCAGATACCAAATTCAGATCCTGACCATACCGGAAGTAGACGGTACATTGAGCAAACTGTTAGGTACCATGGTATCGGTATCCTTTCAGACCATGTTACAAGCAAGTCCGAGACTGCTTAAAAGTCTCAGACAATTGCTAACGCGCAGGGGCGTAGAGGTGGAGGAGACCCCGGAACCGCAGGAGCATGAGACGGAAGAGGCAGAGGCACCCCAAGGCGTCTCCAACTTCCAAAGAATTCCTGGGGATCTGGAGGACCTGGAAAAGGCCTTTGCAGACAGCTGCCTAAGCCTACCGGACCGAGAAGGGGGTGAAGTCATGAGGGCGCCGCCCGGAACGAAGCTTAGCTTCCATGCATTGCCCGTAGGAAAGCTGAAAGTCCAAATCGGAACCCACCACACAGATGCATTAGTGGACGGTGATGCGGAAATTACCCTCATACGATGGGACTTTGCAACAATTACCGGATGCATCGTAAACAAGGAAGTGACGGGGAGTATCCGAGGAGCTGGCGGGGAGATTCCTTTTCCAGGGTACGTTACGAAATGCGCAGTCAGGGCGGGGATCAGGGAATCAATCTGGTCCTTCCAGCGGATGACCGTGATGGAAGAAATGGACCATCACATAATTCTCAGAAGACCGTGGTGCGCCAATGTAGAGATGATAGATATGCATCTGCATGATGGCACATACATGGTGGATATAGAGGACCCCATGACCGGCTGCGGAGAACTCCTCCGACTCCTTGGGACCGGAGGGGATCCTCCGAAGGGCAAGTTGGCAACTTGGTCCCTGACGTTAGAGTGCGCGAAAGGGGGCATTCGCACGAATGGAAGGTATGAGGGAAAGAGTAGAGATCATGATTGAGGAGGCATTTAGCAAGAAAGAGTGGATTAAGATGGGTTTACCTTTGAAGAAAAAGAGGCAAGAGGACGAGGCCCTGGAAGTTATGGTGGCAGAAAAAGAGTCGGAAGTCGAACTTGGGGTCAGCCTGCCCAAACCAAAGGAAGGCCGGAACGAAACGCCGGAGGTGGTGCTTGAAATCCTAGACTTGTTACAACTCGTTAAGGCCATCAGGTATCACAAGGTGGGGGTGGACCCCGCAGCGCTTGCTAAATTTGAAGACGGGGTCCGAAAGGGCTACTATCTGAACGGGAAGCTAGTCAGCATTCAGCCCCACGTCCTGAAGGTAGCAAGGCCGATCCCGACTGTTCATTTTTTAGAAGAACGATCCCAGAAGAAAGTGTGCGAAAATACAAACCCGTAGGGAAGAAAGCCAAACCGGTCTCGATCCTAGTCGAAACATCAAGGGAAGAGGTCATGGAAAAGGAGGAAGAAATCCTGCGGATAATAAGGGAGAGGCGAGCAGCGGAAGGGCACCGGATACCTGATAAGATAGCGGATACCATGAAGATAGGGGTAGAAGGGTTCCTAACGGTGGATGAGACTCAGTTGATAAGGAGGGCATGCCAGGAATTTCACCTAGCTTTCGCCTTCAATGACCACCAGAAAGGCCGATTGGACGCAAAGCTAATTTACCCCGTTAGGATCCACACGGTGGAACACGAATGCTAGAATGACAAGGGGTCCGCCTACGAGTTCGGAATAGCTGCGGAAGTCACTGAATTGCTCAGAGCCAAGATAGATTCATTCGTGGCCAAACCCACCGCGTCCCCCTACGTGAACAAGTGGTTTGTTTTTCGGAAGCCCAACAAATCGCTCAGATGGATCCAGAACTTGCAGAAGTTGAATGCGGTTACGATCCGGGATGCGGGATCACTCCCGCAGGCCGACTTACTGGCAGAGTCTCACGCCGGACGAAGCATTTACTCCCTGATAGATCTATATTCAGGATACAACCAACTGCTGCTCGATGCGAGAGATAGACTGTACACCGCCATGCACACCCCTGTAGAACAGCGGCAAATGCAAGTGACTCCTATGGGCTTCACAAATGTTGTGGCGGAGACACAAAGGAGGATGCTTGCCGTCGCAGGGGACATGTTCCCAAAAAAATGCGAACCCTACATAAATGACAATCCCGTAAAAGGCGCGCAGGACAAGGATGAGACAGAGGTCCAGCCGGGCATACGAAAATTTGTCTGGGATCATCTAAAGGATATCAAGAATCTCCTCCAGCGATTCCTGATATATAATATCACCGGAAGCGGACCAAAGAGCATCCTGGCGGTCCCATAAGTAACTATATTGGGGTTTCGTTGTGGGGCCTATGGAAGAAAACCCAACCCGACAAAGACGGATAAGATCTCCCAATGGCCGACGCCTCTGCGCACCACGACGGAGGTACGAGCCTTCCTAGGTGTAGTCGGATTCTGGAGGATCTTTATCAAAGGGTTCACAAAGATAGCAGAACCTATCCGCGCAATGATTAGGGAGGGAGGGACTATGGAATGGACCGAGGATAGGGAAGCGGCAGTCTAGACCCTCAGAGATATCCTGTCTTCCGATCGAGTCATCTTGGCAGGGTCTTGCTTTAATGACGAAGCAGGGCGACCCTTTATCCTAGAAACGGACGGAGGACCCTTGGCGGTAGGGGGAGTACTGATACAGAGAAGTGAGGAGGGTAAGGAGAGGCCTATCAGGTTTGAGAGCAGGACCCTGAATTCTGCAGAGCGGCGGTACTCACAGTTCAAGAAATAAGTTTTAGCCATTCTACATTGCCTTAAGACTTTTCAGTCATACCTATTCGGGAGACGGTTTATCTTGAGAATCGATCCGACCAATGTCACCGGGGCATTAAAAAACTACAAACCTATAGACCCGACCGTTGGAAGATGGATAGGCTTCATATGGCAATTCAACTACAAGGTCGAGCGAATCGCGGGACTCCGAAATAGGGCAGACAGGCTAAGTCGGGTTTGCATTACGCCGGAGGGAGTAGAGGATGCGTAACCAATCGACGCATTCCTAGAATACAAAGGGGGGACCCTTGTCATAGATAACGAGATGGCAGGCACCGCTCCTACAATGGATCAACTATTGATTCAAACCCTGGAAAAGAGCGCACCCGCCATAGTTGCGGAACTCAGGGAAGGACCAATTACCACGATTAGACGCAAGGATGAGAAGGATTCGTGGGGAGCAACGATGGGGCCAAAGGAAGAGTTGATGACAATGGCCGTTGAAGGGGGTCAGGATGTTGTGATGAATGTAGTAGAAACTTAGACGCGAAGAGAGCGACAATATCTAGTGAATCAGGATCAGAAGAAGCAAGACACCGATCAGAAGGGACGAGAATTCTTCCTTATCCAAATGTATGATGACATTTTTAGAGAAATCGGTCTGCTGCTTATAGAAAATAAACAGGCTATGGAAGTCAGCCCCAAGGCAAGGGAGGAAGCCGAAAAGTATGTTTTGAGGCACGGTCACATGTTCAAGAAAGAAGAAGGAATGATGCCTAGGCGTGTCGTATGCGGAAGGTTTAGGCAGTTGGACATAATCCAGACAATGCATGATGGGCTAGCCGGAGGGCACTGGTCGTCCAAAGGAACTCTGGCAAAATCGCACCACTCTACTTCTGGCCAGGTATGGCAGGCATGGTAGCGATGTACTGCCAAACGTGTCTGATATGCCAGGAAAGGAGTTCTGCACTTGTCTTCGAACCCCTTAGACCTACCCGGGTACTGAAGCCGGGGCACCTGGTCCACCTTGACCTCGCGGTTATGCATATATCAACGGATGGATACATGTATATCTTGGATGCAAGGGACAATCTCAGTGGTTACGTGGAGGCAGTAGCTCTTAAGAGAAAGACGGGGAAGGGAGTGACCGATTGGATAGAGGACTTCTGCATAAGGCACCCCTTTGTGTGCAGGTTCATAGCGGATAATGGGACGAAATTTGTAAATCATGAAGTGCTAAGCAGGCTCAAGACGTTGTGCGTACCTATCAAGATCATTGAACCATACAATCCTGAGACTAATGCACCAGTAGAAAGTGAGCACCGGACCTTGAAAAACACAATCGCTAAGTTGGCGGCGGATGACCTAGGGGACTGGCCTCGATACCTTAAGCAGGCGGTCTTCTTTGAGAACATGACGCCGAAAAGGACCACGGGATGCATTCCGACAGAACTCTGGTATGGGAGGGAGATCGATTTTCCGATGGAAGCCCTGGTTCCTACCTGGAACAGGCTAGATGACAATCCGCATATGTCTACGGAGGAACTAATTGCCTCACGTTGCCAACAGGTCATGAGAAATGAGGAAGCCTTGGAGGATGTGGTTAGGCGAGTGATGGATAGTCGAATGAAGGACAAAACAAGGTGGGATCAGGTAAAGAACATCCGAAAGGAGCCGCTCCAGGTGGGAGAGAAGGTACTAGTTAGGAACTCGGCACTTGAAAGCACATGGACTGGACAGCTGGGGAAAAAGTTCAAAGGTCCCTACAGGGTCGCAAAGCCGGTTGGTCTGAACACGTTTGAACTTGAGGATCTTTATGACACTAGGATAAAAGGGTCATTTCCGGGACAGAGACTGGTCATGTTTTTGAGCAGGGATCTAGTGGAACAATGATTATAGGAGGCTCAGGACACGGAAACAGGGGAATTGACAACTTGAAAGACAGACAGCTGGCTACGATTCTATACCACCTCCCTGCGAAAGTAATCATGACTGCAGGGGTTGTTCGTTATGTGTCTCCTTTCCTGTGGAACATGGGGTGACTGCCTGGGCTCAGTATGAATGAGGTTGGGAGCCTGGGACAAGGTGTCATAGTTTTTGTGGGGCAATTTTGGGGACTGTCTACATGAGGTACCTACGGGCTGGGACAATGTACCATAGTTTTTGTGGAGCAATTTTGGGGACTGTCTACATGAGGTACCTACGGGCTGGGACAATGTGCCAAGGGGTTTGAGGAGTAATGAGACTACCAATTATACGGGCGCAAGCAAGGGTCCTGAGGAAGCCTGCAAATCGGCAAATTGGATGGGAGGGGGTGTGTGCATATGAGGGGGTGCCACGACTGTTGTGTGTGAGTAGGACCAGGGAAAAAGAAAACAGGAAGAAAGAATAAAGATGGAGTTCGGAAACGAGAATGACAGCAACGCCATCAACAGGCCTACAGGGGAACAGCCGACTAGACAGGCTGGAGAGTCGAGCTCCAGGAAAAGGAAGTTGTATGTGGGATTTGACCACAATCTAGTTGTGAACAGGGGGGGAAGAAAGCAAGGGACCCGGGGATCGTCACCCCTGAGAGAGGGGGAGCCAATAGTTCTCTCTTCAGACAACGATGATAGTGAAGAACAGGTTGGGAACCCAGGGAAAAGACAGAAAGTGGAAGAGGAAGAGTCCAACGAGGTCATAGACCTCAGTAGTGAGGAGGAAGAAGACGAAGTTACAACACCCACCGAAGAAGTATGAGCAAGGGATAAGGACCCGGGGGAGGAAAATGACAAGTGGATAAGAGAGTTTGAGCCGTCCTTCAGCGACTGGTTGGATCAGTGGGCCAGTATTTTGCGGTATGAGTGGGCGATGAAAGGGAAGGAGAAACTGAGAAGAGGAGAGGACATAACCCCAACAACATTCTTCACGGAGGAGACACTCCTTAGTTTGCAAATGACAAAGAGACAAATGCAACAAGAGATCGACAATCGTGCAAGGGAGGCTCGGCGTAGGGTAACTGGGCAGTAAAGGGGTACTAGACATAAATGGGAATAGTTAGAGAATGGGAAGGCTGAAACCTGGGCAGGAAGAACTTCCATATTGAATTTTGCATTTGAGCTTTCTGAGAATGGACTATAATGGGACAACTTTCTGTTTGGAATGACCAAGGACTAGGTAACTAATGCTACTTTCCGTAAGTAGTTGCTTTTTCAGAAAGAGCATGAGGGTCATCACGCTTAAGAGTGAAACTATGAAAGGCTGGATGTGTTTAAGGAAAGCAAGGGAAAAACAGATGGGCCTAGATGAGACAAGTCTGTAATGTTGTTCTTTGCATTCGAACCTTGTCTCCCTTTTTTTTTTGAAGAACTGCGACATAACAGCTCCCTGGACTAGGGAAGTTAGCAGGGGATGGGTAGCCAGTGCTACTTTGTATAAGTACTCGCTCTTTTGGAAAATATGGGCATTTTTCGTAGTAAAAAGGGAACTGGGAATGATTGACTATGTTTTGGAAAACGGGCAAGGGTATGTGAACTGTTGAAGAATGAAAAAAGTCGATGACAAATAATTTCCTCTTGAGAATTGTGTATCCAGGGCGGAATGAGTCATGGTATGACTCTCTGTGAGAGGTTAGGGGACGTATGGGTAAAAGAGGCATGAAGAATCCTCTTCCCTAGGAGCCTAATCCAACCTATCCCGGACAAGTCCAGAGCAATGAAAGGGCATGAGAGGCCAGAGAAAGCAAACATTGATTGAGCAAGCACTTTCCGAAATGGTTAAACGACCGGGCGGGCTAGTGCTGCTTGGGGTCATGAGCCTCAAATTGAGCACTAGATGCGAAGTCGGGTGTATGTATGGACATGAGAACGATGATTGGCACGAGACAAAAGGATGAGGGCATGCGTAAAACTCAAGAAATGACCATCTTCTAACCTCCGAGACAGAGATAGGATCCGTGTCCTCGAGGCCACCCCATCGGACACTAACACGGAAATGGATAAGGATGGCCCTAACCAGGCTGCCCGAGTGAAATAGATAAGGATGGCCCTAACCAGGCTTTCCGCTTGAAATGGAAAAGAATGATCCTAACCAGGCTTTTCGACTTCGAATTGGAAAGAACGACCCTAACCAGGTTGTTTGGAATGGCCCCTGACAAGGGTCATTCTTTGGAATTGGCACTGGGGTCCCCTTGCATGACTGCTTGAGATGACCAAGATTGAGAAGAGTTGAGCCTTGGAAAAGACATTGGACGGTGCGTTGGAAAAGACATTGGACCCAGCCTTGGAAAAGAGATTGGACTCGGCATTGAAATAGATATTGGATTGAGCCTTGGATTTGGACTGAGCTTTGGATCTGGATTGAGCCCTTGAATTGGACTGAGCATTGGAATTGGACTGAGTCTTGGAATGGGCTTGAGCATGGGACTTGGATTGAGCATTGGAATTGGAATGAGCACTGAAAATTGCATTGCATAAACAGGGGACTCTAGGCAACTTGAAATGGACATGGAAATAACATTGAAATGAATCTCTCTTTTATTCTAGTCCTTAGCCTCAGCAAGAGGGGGATACCGGTGTTTGTTCCGCGACCCCAAGACCTCTATCCCTTAAAGGGAAAAGTCTCAGCGCGACCTGTTCCTCTTACAAGGGGATGAGAGTTAAATGACAAGGGCACCTACCACTTGGATCGGTGCGGGACGTCCGGAACTGACCCCGACAATGAGCTCTAGGCGGGAAGTTCAAATTGCGCCTCCTGTTGAACGCCTAAACGTAAAAAGGTGAGAAAATCAAATGGGCGAGAGAGTCATTCTCATTCTAGTCTATTTTGTTACTCTCCAACCACACGCCATACCATAGAGGGGTGGCATGGCCGTTTGGGTCGGACCTCGGCTGCCCGTGCTAAGTTGGGAGGCACTGTCCAAGGGGAGAGGCTGGCGTGGTACCGGGTGGAGGCCGCCACCACCACGGGGCATTGACACTGCCCTGCTGGATCATTACAACTGTTTCGGGACTAATTGTGAGGTCTTCGTAACTGCACTCGCGGACTAATAGAGAGCCCCAACTCTCTTGAAAGGAAGAGGCCGCATCCAGAAAATTTTCACTTGGGAGGAACGATTCGCGAGGAACGCGTTTACGGCTAGACGAAGCCCTGGAAGGCTTGGATTGGACCTGTCTGCCAGACGTGAGGAGGAACCTCAGTATTGGTGCTCGCCACGTGAGAGAAAAAAGGTCGGACCAAGTAGGAGGACGAGGCGTCGTTCGCTGGGGAGGAACTGATCACTCTTCCTCTTGTGAAGCGGACGGGCTTGTGCCCTTGACTGCGGTTGGTGGGCCAAAGGTCTGCGTACCTCCGAGTGAGAACCAGTCGCGCGATGGGGACATCGTGTTTTGAGTAGGGGGAAGGTGTGTTATCTACCAATTAAAATGCATGCAAAAGACTTGTGTAATTGGCTTTGCGAGGGCCTGAGAAAAGGGGGCCTGGTAAAATGCCCAGAACAGAAAAGACTTGTGTAATTGGCTTTGCGTGGGTCTGAGAAAAAGGGGGCCTTACAAGATGCCCAGAAGAGAAAAAAAACTTGTGTGATTGATTTGGCATGAGCTTGAAAATGGGTCGGGCAAGACGTCCGGAAAAGAAAAGACTCGTATGATGGACTTCGCATGGATTTGAAGGGGAAAAACGTAGGCAGGCTGGTAAATGAATGAGTAATTGGGTTGCATGAGCCTGAGAAAAAGGTCTGACAAGGTGTCTGAAAAAGAGAAGCACAAGGGATGAGTTGGGCAGCGTGCATGAAAAATTAGAAATAAGCAAGGAACAAGAAAGGACAAGGAGTGATATGAATGCAGAATTGGCAGAACCTGAGAAAGACTGGGTAAAATGACCCGTGAGAAATGTATGTGGATTTGGCAAAGCCTGAGCTTCGGGGAAGGATGAAAGGGAGACATGGATTGCACGGGCCGAAAAGTAGATTATTTTGATGCTCTAAGAGTAATGAATGAGACGGAACCAAAATGGTTTCTGCTCGATAATGTTTTCTCAATGAAATGAGAAGATAGATTTGAGATTACGAAGCACTTAGGGGCAGTTGTGTCTGTGTTCATTGATTCGAAGTGGGTATCACCACAGCAAAGGCGACGGTTGTACTGGACGAACATCCCTCTTCCGGAGCAAATGCCTAACATTGAGCCACATCCGAAAACTTGCCTACAATTTGTTATCAACAATGCCAAGGCATATAAAGAGAAAACCAACTATGTTATGACAACAAATCGTCACCCTGGGAATAAAGCCAGCATGCCAATAGTTAAGTGCTTGAAGCAAGGAGAGCCTCGTCTGCTTCATGCTACGGAAGTCGAAAGAATTATAGGCTAACCTGCTGGGTATACAGAGTTGATTGAAGAGGAAGTTCGTTCTCGATTGAGGGAAAGATAAAGAGGACGAGCTATGATGGAAATGAGCAACCTCGTCTAAGCTGTAGGCCCGAAGAAGAACCTTTGACTTCCCCATACCCTCCTCCACCCCAAGGGGGGGGAAGCTAAAGAAAACCCTGAGAAAGAAATGGGAAAAGACACAAAGGACCCTGGCAAGCTAACTACCCATCTCGCCCCGCCCCCTCTTCCCCCCTGTCTACCACTCCCGAATCCTTACTGACTATGGACTGGGGCGCGATGAGGAGATCGCGAATGAGTGGGAGAAATGCGTCGGGACTGGTAAGTCCCGAATGACTTCCCGTCACTCGACAGACTGTATATGGCTAATTTGTGCACGGCAGAGAAAACCGGACGCAAGAAGGATGGAAGGATCAAGGTTTAGGCATAGGCGCTAAGAACCTAGAAGCTGCCCAAAGTTGCCGGGACCAATGGACTAAGAAGAAAATTGACTGAACGGGGAGCGGCGGAGGCACGCAAGAAAGTGGCGAAGACGACCCTTCCCCCGAAA